TAATGGAATGTGCAAAGACCTGGACTTGGAAAAACAAAAGAGTAGAACACACATGGTATTTCTCAAGCTGAAAGAACTGAGGAAAAAATTGAAGCCTTGAGTTGCAATATTGAAAGATTCTGTTGGCAAAATATTGAATGATGCAGGAAACATCAAAAGAAGATGGAAGGAATATACAGAGTCACTGTACAAAAAAGAATTGGTCGATTTTCATCCATTTCAGGAGGTGGCAAATGATCAAGAACCAATGGTACTGAAGGAAGAAGTTGAAGCTGCACTGAAGGAATTGGCTAAGAACAAGGCACCAAAAATTGACAGAATACCCATTGAGATGTCTTAACAAACAGATGTCCCACTGGAGACACTCACTCGGTTATGCCAAGAGATTTGGAAGACAGCTATCTGGCCAATTGACTGGAAGAGATGCATATTTGTACCCATTCCAAAGAAAATTGATCCCACAGAATGTGGAAATTATCAAACAATATCATTAATATTGCACTCAAAATCTTACTGAAGATAATTCAAGAACGGTTGCAGCAGTATATTGATAGAAAACTTCCAGAGGTGCAAGCTGGGTTCAGAAGAGGATGTGGAATGAGGGATATCATTGCTGATGTCAGATGGATCTTGGCTCAAAGAAAAGAATACCAGAGAAATGTATATTTGTGTTTTATTGACTATGCAAAAGCATTTGATTGTGTAGATCATAACAAATTGTGGATAACATTGAGAAGAATGGGAATTCCCAAACACTTAATTGTACTCATGAGGAACCTGTACATAGACCAGGAGGCTGTCATTTGCACAGAACAAGGAGACACTGCATGCTTTAAAATCAAGAAGGGAGTGTGTCACGGTTGTATCCTCCATACTTATTCAATCTGTATGTTGAGCAAATAATCAGAGAAGCTGGACTATATGAAGAAGAACATGGCATCAAGATTGAAGGAAGGCTCATTAACAACCTGTGATATGCTGACAACACAATTTTGCTTGCTGAAAGTGAGGATGACTTGAAGCACTTACTGATGAAGATTGAAGAACACAGACTGCAGTATGGATTACATTCGAATATAAAGAAAACAAAAATTCTCACAACTGAACCTATAAGCAGCATCATGATAAATGGAGAAACAATTGAAGTTGTCAAACACTTCACATTGCTTGGTTCTACAATTGATGCCAATGGAAGCAGCAGTCAGGACAATGTGCATCACTGTACAAGTCGGTTGCAAAGGACCTTTTTCAAGTGCTGAGGAGAAAAGATGTCTCCTTGAGGACTAAGGTGTACCTGACACAAGTCATGATATTTTCAGTCACCTACTATGACTGCTAACCAGAAGGCTGGCGGTTCAAACCCACCAGCCACTCCTCGGAAGGAAGGTTGGGCAATCCTACTTCCGTAGTGATACTGCCTCGGAAACCCAAGGAGGGGTCGCTATGAGTCGGGGCCAACTCGATGGCACATAACAACAACAACAATATGCATGTGAGAGCTGGACAATGAATAAAGAAGACTGAAGAAGAATTGATGCTTTTGGGATGTGGTGCTGGCGAAGAATGCTGAAAGTCCTGTAGACTGCTAAAAGAAGTAACAGATCTGTCCTGGAGGAAGTACCTCCTGAATGTTCCTTGGAAGTGGGAATGGCCAGACTTCATCTCAACTACTTTGGTCATGTTGTCAGAAGAGACTATTTCCTGGAGAAGAATGTCATGCTTGGTAAGGTGGAGGGTCCACGAAGGAGGGGAAGGCCCTCAACAAGATGGATTGACACAGCGGCTGCAGCGATGGGGTCAAGTATAGCAAAGATCACAGAGCTGGTACAGGACCGGGTGGTGTTTCATTCTGCTCTACATAGGGTCGTTATGAGTCGGAGATGACTCGATGGCACCTAACAACAACAATAGAAAAACAGCTAAAGGAATTCAATGGACCCAATGTGATGAGGGAATAATGAATGGTGAAATGCATCTCCTTAACTTAGGTGGCTATTACTAATATTTTCCATACTGAGGAAGGGCATGATACCAAAAGAGGAAATATAAATTTGAGGAGAGGTTAGGTTCCTAGGATAGCACCAGACATGCTAGCTTTCAGTGAGGTTATACTGTTTGTTAGGGAGCTCTGGTGGCACAGTGCATAAGGTATTTGACTGCTAATCAGAAGGTTGACAGTTCAAACCCAACAATTGTTCTGTGGGAGGAAGTTGAGGCAATCTACTTCCATAAAGATTTACAGCCTTGGGAACCCAATGCGGGTTGCTATGAGTCGTAATGACTCGATGGCAGTGGGTTTGGTTTGGTTTTACATTACTTGTTAAAGGAACAACATGAGTGGAAAACAGAACTCTTAGGCTAATATGCACTTAACTTGTGGACATGGGAAGCAGTTACAGGAAGTACAGAAGGTTGGAGATGCAAGTAGTTTGAGACACGCAATGCTCAGTATATGGACAATATGCAAAGTTTTTGTGTTGAATATAAAATTATATTTTATATGTTTTAAATTATTGAAACTAATGTTTTCAAACATTTGTTTCCTAAATTATGGCTTTACATTAAGAACAATGAGGTTATGAAATCTTTCTCTTAATAGTACTATGTACTAAAAGAAAGTGAAGTTGAAAAGCAACATATATTTAAAAGTAGTTAACATTTGTGTGTGTAATCTACTGAAAAATAAACTGAAATTTCATTTGTAATTTCAATCCCTTCTATAATAGAAAATGTACTTTCTAAAAAAGATAACACATTCTATTTAATATGGTACTCTTGAAAATTAAAACATCTGAATGTTAGGCACTTTCAGATAAATTTCTTAGTATTTTAATTCCCCGTTAGTAAGCCAAAGAGAATAATAATTCCACCTCTTAGAAACATTTTAAGGACATATATTCTTCTTTAACCACAAACTAAATGTAAAAGGTTCTGAAGAAGTATACTGGTATTTTTGTATTGGAAAATTATGTATTTATTTTTGCTCTTCTATTATTCTTTTCTTTTCTTTTTCTTATTGTGGGTGGAATATGATCAACTGCTTTCATACCTTTTAATGGTTTGAAATTGCACCTTTTTTTTTTCCATTGTATTTTTCTTTTTGACAAGCCTACTGAATGCTTTCTCTATATCATTTGAGACTCAAAACTGGATCACTTACCCATGATTATAGGGCTTTTGAACACATATGTAGGAACAAGAGTTTGAACTATTGGCAATTCTTTAGCTTTATTTTTTCTTTTATTTTTATTGACAGTTAAATTTTCTGGAGAATACATTCAAGAGAGTGTATTCTAGAAACAGCAATAATAGAAGCTTGGTCATAAATGATAACAGTTATAATAATGAACTCCCTTAGCAAGGCATTCCACACAGAGAGATAACAGCACAATAAATAATTCGTCATTTATCACAAGACAAAAATAAAACAGAATTGCAATAAAAATATGCTTTTATAAATGTTCTTATACTAAAAATAAAAGGTATGTGATCATGCACTTGAGACAAAAGCTGAAAGTGGATAATAAAAGCAAAAAAAGACAAAAATGTTTAAGTATTGTGAGAGGAGATAAAATAGATTCAGATAAAACCAATTATATTTAGTAACTTAGGAGGGACATGACATAATCATGAATACTTTACACTACTAGCATATACCATTGTCCATTTAAACCTTTCATGACTCAGTTATTTTCTTCTTTGATTTTGTGTTTATACCACGTTTTCATTAATGGTGCTATGCTTAGTCATTGAGTGTGTCTGAGTTTTAGGTAGACAGTATGGATTTTTTTTTTTCCTTTCCTTTCCTCATCCCACAAACCTATCCTTACAGTCACAAAGCAAAAAATCCACTGCCATCAAGTGAGATCCAACGCATAGCAACTCCTTCTTCGGTTTCTGAGGCAGTATCACTACGAAAGTAGATTGCTCAACCTTCCTTCTGAGGAGTGGCTGGTGGATTTGAACCGCCAGCCTTCTGGTTAGCAGTCAAATGCCTTAGGCACTACACCACCAGAGCTCCTTTACAGTCCCAAGGGATGCACATTGTCCCATAAATTTTACTCCCAGAGTGTCCCCAGAGTCAACAGATACATATGTGCACCAAATAAGAATTTTCAAAACTTCAATATTTCTAACCAAAAACTCAGACACCTCATACAATGACCTGTAAAAACAGTAATTTTCAGCACACGTCCATTTGTTTGGTTTCAAAGCGCTATGCCAGCCTCCACCTAATGGATGGATGTACTGTGGGAAAGCAACTTCCTAAGAAATGTGAGAAGCAGAAAATATTGGTGGGCAACCATATACCCCAACCATCATGAAAGGGTTAAAAGACAGATTCCATTTTCTTTAAGCACCTCTCATATTACAAAGATGGAATAAAGTTATTGTTTACATTGATTATAAATATAAAAGAATACATTAGGAAACATATTCTCGAGAATAGGCCAGTTTAATGCCCTGGAATAGTAGGGAACTGGGAGTCAGGAAACATCGACTCAAGTCCCATTCTCATCATTGTCTGTGAAAAATATTCTTTAAAAATTAATCTAAGAAATATCCTTCAAGGTACCTCCCAATTCTGAAGTAAAATTTCATGCCATATGTCAATTTTGCCTGTAAGAGTAGAACTATCAGAGCTAACAGAAAACAATAATAAACAATTTTAAAAGTAGTTTAAATTATGAAGCTTAATTTTTTTTTTAAGTATTTTTTTTAAAAGTTAGATCACTTACTGGAACTAAGAATTGTATAATGATTTAGTGGGATTGATCCTACAGAATAATAGTTACTTCCGCAACACAACTAACCTAAGCAATGCCTTTATACTTTGTGGTTGAATAGCATATAAGATTTAAACAGTGACTACTTTCTACATGATTAGGAAAGACATGTTTGTCATGAGAGTAAAAAAATAAAATTTGTCTGTTAAATTACACATAAATATAAGGTACAAATGTATTTTTAAAATACAGATTAAAATAATCACACTTGCATTGTGTACATATGAAAATACAGTATTTAATATTCAATATACACAGACACATTTATGATAAATGCAACTATTTGGCAATGCCAGTTCTTTCAAGGTTTTTCTGTTTCCTATTTCCATACATATGGAAACAAAAATACTTCGCTAAAATCTTCTAGCTCTGGCGGACATCCTGCAGCAGTTTGTTAATCTCTGCCACCAGCTCACTGGCATCCATAAGTTCGTGCTTCCCATCATTGAGGTGGTTGAGCACATTGTCAAAATCATCTTCCTCATAGTTTTCAGGAATCTCCTCCATGGCTGGCAGCCATTTTGAAGAAGGCTGCACACTGGAGTGAGTTCCAAGTGGGAGCCCAGAGTTGTTGGCTGGATTTTGAAAATGTGTACTGGCTGCCCAGGCAGCCACCCCTTGTGGGTAACCCACAGTTTTAGCTGGCAAGGGCCCCTTCCGGCGTTCCAGTGAGTTGGTCCGGTCCACCTCACTGCACTCAGAGTAGTTGTCCAGGGAAGAGGGTAAGAGGCGCTGGAACACTGTGCTCATTTCCGAGAGCAGAGAAGATGTACTGGTATCTCCAGTGTCCTCATCATTTGGGGAGTCCTTCCCAAAGGTAGAAAAACTCTTCTTCTTCTCTACAGAATCTGTAGGCTGAGTATCATCCTCAAGACTCTGATGTGGATGCTGCTGCTGAGGTTGTGTTGGAAATTCCTCCCCTGGAATGAACATATTACTCCTATAATCAGAGGATGGTGAGGGCAGAGGTGGCATCCAGCACTGGTCAGAGTGTCCCAGGACTCTGCATTCCTCCGTACAAAGCCTCATAGCTGCACTCGAGGAAAACAATGGGGGCTCATTATTACACTTAGCATGACTCACAATAAAGAAAAAATGCATTTTTTTTTTCCTTAAAAGAAAGATTGAGGCAGTTTTAAAATACTATCATGGTGCTAATCCATTATCCATTACTATACACGTTAGGCTACAATTTGAGGTAATTTGGTTACCAACTTTACGGACCTCCATAAGTCATTTCTAATGATCTTTTTTTTTTTTTTCTTATCCCTTGTTTATCAAATGAAGAAAGCTATTATCAACTCACCTACTCTTCATAATTGCTACTCAAGTAATGAGGAAGTAGATTGATAACTTACACCTGAAAATAAAGAGATATAACTAGGGTATGGGTGATGAAGTAAATGCTGAATACAAATTCTGAAAAATTGAGCTAAAAGGTGAAACTCATAATTAAGAAACTTTCCCAATATTTAAGTCTATCGCACCTACTTTATTTTAATGCAGGCATTGAAACCACAATAAGCTATCAGTTAATTATATTTATTAATAGCTCTTAAAGGTATTATTATTTACTGACTCACTATTTAAAATTTGGGAGCTCTGGTGGCATAGTGCCTAAGGCATGTGACTGCTAACCAGAAGACTGGTGGTTCAAACCCACCGGCCACTCCTCAGAAGGAAGACTGGGCAATCTACTTCCGTATTGATACTGTCTCAGGAACCCAAGGAGGGGTCGCTATGAGTCGGATCCAACCTGACGGCAGTTGAGTTTTGAGTTTAGATTTAAAATCCAGAGAAAAGAATCCTCAACTACCAGGCATCTGCAGTTACCCTTTTAAGAAGTCTGTAATACATCTTAAAATTTGAAATACATTTATATTCAAATATATGAAAATGTCATCAAAAGATAAAGAATATGAAAAATTCATTGCCTAGTTTTTCCAAATTTTATAGTGACTTTTTGGAATGTGAGTGGCCACATTCATTGATAGAAAATAATAGACAATATGAGAAAAACAGAGAAAACTCTGTAAATTTGACCTATATAATAACCACAACATGCAAAGATGTGTATTCCACAAATCATCCATCTCCTTCAGTGAGAACTAAGGATGTTCAGTATCATGATTTCATTTTAAAACTAACCTCAGAATGCAAAAAAAATGCAAAGTGATTCTTCTAGATTTGAAAGCAAACTGGATTGATAATTGCGACACACATAATTTTAGAGCTAATTCTGTACATCTGGCTAGTTATGAAAGATTTATCTTCCATTCAAATTATTGCCTAAATGAATGACCCTTGGAAAATGTAATATCTTTGTGAGAAGAAGCAAGTAGTGTAATGTGTTTATTGCTGTATTCCCAGGACTTGGTAACTGTGTGCATACAACAGGCATTCACTATATATTTTCTGAATGAGAAGTGAGAAATTAATGTTGACATTCAGAAAAATGAATAGTTGTTGTTTAAAAGTACAGAAGACATTGCCTTTTCTGCCTTGACTTTTAAAAATAATTACATTCTTTTATATCATCAGTACTGGACCTCAATTCTTAACATAAAATCCAAACTCACTGTCTTAGAGTCGATCCTGAGTCATAGTGATCCCTTCTTAAGTTTCCAAGGCAGTATCTCTAGGGAAGTAGATTGCCCAATCTTCCTTTCAAGGAATGGCTGGTGGGTTTGAACCTCCAGCCTTCTGGTTAGCAGTCAAATGCTTTCGGCACTACGTCACCAGAGCTCCCCAATTCTTAACATGTTGTTGTTGTTGTTATGTGCCGTCAAGTCGGCCCCGACTCATAGCGACCCCTCCTTGGGTTTCCGAGGCAGTATCACTACGGAAGTAGGATTGCCCAACCTTCCTTCCGAGGAGTGGCTGGTGGGTTTGAACCGCCAGCCGTCTGGTTAGCAGGCAAGTGACTTAGCCACTATGCTACCAGAGCTCCCAATTCTTACATAGAAGAGGATAATTTGAGGAACAAAAAGGAAAGCAAGTATTGTGAATTTAAAAAAAAAAAAACATTTCCAGGAAGACTAGAAATGTGAAAGAATTAGATGGGAAACGTAAAGATGAGTGTGAACACCAATGACGTGGAAATCACTACAGGTTACAAGAAAGGGATCTGTGTAATACTGCTGTGAAGAAAGATTAAATAAATAGGCACAATAATTGTTTGGTTTTTTTTTTTTTTTTTGCTTTTGCTAGTTTCCTGGGTCTCTGAAAATGGAAAAGAGTCCTGTCTCTACTGGCTTACTCACATCCTGTCAGAAGGAGGGAATAGACCTGATGACAACATTAATTTTTTATTTTTTTTTTTCCTCCTGGTTTTCAATTCTGTGGTTTCAGGTTTGTGAAGAACTTTCTTGTTTGATGGATTATATTATTAACTTTGTTTTGTTTTAATGTTTAATGATCGTGAAGAAAGGGAAAAAGTACACAGAGTTCTAATAATCTTAAGCATGATCAAATTGTCCAGAGACCTAAATAAAACAAACATAGAGTCAACAATACAGTTTATGTGAATTAAATGACAGTCCATGCTCAAAACTATAATTTTAGTCATGTTGTTGTTGTTGTTATGTGCCATTGAGTCAGACCCGACTCATAGCGACCCCTCCTTGGATTTCTGAGGCAGTAACACTATGGAAGTAGATAGCCATCTTCCTTCCAAGGAGTGGCTGGTGGGTTTAGTCATAGGAATTTATTAACAAAATATTTCTTTAGAATCTCATCACAGTAAAGAACTAGGTCATTAATGATAAAATGATCATTTTAAAATTAAAAAGAATAAAATATGAAAAACTGATGAAGAAAGGAAAGACAAAAAGGATAGTAAAGGTAATGAACTGATACTAAGGAAGAATAGTGGTAGAGGAAGACATTTCACTCAATTGCATTGATATTTTTTCAACCTTGTTCCTGGACACTTAACTATTTCAAAACAGTTTCAGTGTATACATAATTCAGTTCTGCAAAGGTTCCATCTAATCTCTCAGGGATCGGGTCCATTGGCAAGTGGTGGAAGAGGCTAATATTTCTGTAGTTTCTTTGAAAGCTCTGGCAGATGGTTAAGGTTTCTCTAGGATGGGATATGGGGGATGAAATGGACGCTTCTTTGCCACAATATGGCTATAAATTTTGTCACTTCATAGGTAAGTCAGGAAGCAGAGCATCAATGATATGGAGAAAAAAATAAATGCTTAGCTTTCTTGCACCAGATTGCAAACTTAGAGATTGGTGATTCAAACCCACCGAATGGTGCCATGGAAGAAAGGCCTAGTAACTTGCTTCCATAAAGATTATAGCTAAGAAAATCTTATGGATCAGTTCTATGCAACACACAGGGTTGCCATGACTAGGAACTGACTTGATGAAATGGGTATAGATTCTATCGAGCCATTACTCATTGGGGCAATGGAACAATAACCTGTTGTTGTTTGTTATGTGCTGTTCAGTCGAACCCGACCCATAGTGACCCCTCCTTGGGTTTCTGAGGTGGTATCACTAGGGAAGTAGATTGTGCAACCTTCCTTCTGTGGAATGGATGGTGGGTTTGAACTGTCAGCTTTCTGGTTAGCAGTCAAGTACCTTAGGCACTATACCACCAGAGCTCCTCAATAACCTATTAAGAGCCTACCAAATGTAAAGTCCCATGATGGTCCCAAGTCCTTAAATGACTTAAGATGTAGTTCAGAGAAAAGTGTAGCAAATGAGTTCACTAGTGGCCAGCTAAAGTGTAAAAGCATATGATGCTGAGGGCATTTTTTAAGAAAAGAATAAGGAGTGGTGGTAAAGGCTGAAGTATTCAAAGAAGGAGCAACTTGAGCAAACTTGAGAGGTGAAAAGCATTTACACAGATGAAGTGAAAAGACACCAGTTTTACAGGAAGAAGGGAAGCAAGAGCAAAGGATTGGTGATTATGTGAATAGAGGTCTCTGCTTACTGGGAAAGGTACAAAAATGCCAGGTGGAGAGTTAATAAGCTAAGAGTGGGTTTCATTGGCCTTTGTGATGAAAAGTAGTTTTATTTGGTGTTGCTAAGTAACAATGGACACTTAAGAGATTTTTGTGCTTAAAAATGTAAATTAAAATGTTTTGAAAATGTTGCTCAGGTAGACGTATGAAAGAAAGATCTGAACTAGGGAAGAGAAGTAGAGAAACATCAGTATATGGTGATGCAGTAAGCTATTCACAGGAGAAAGAATGGAGCTAGGAAACTACAGTGAGAACTGAGAGGTCAAAGAGTTGAAAAAGAATGTTTGAAGTAAGTAGTAATAGATGACAGATCAATAAAAAGTAGAATGGACTCAATCAAGGAGAAGCAGTATCACAATAAACAATACAAACAGCTTTTACAAATCACCTTGGAACAACTAAAATATTGAAAATAAAGATTTTTCTGGCATATGTGTAGTATTGTAATTCAAAGTTGAATGAGTAACAAAGGAAATATGTTGACAAAACAGACAAAAATGAACACTGATTTTACTGTTCAGAATGTAGCATATTTGTGTGGGAATTAATAGAATCGATGACCAGAAATGACCCCATTGGCAGGCAATAGAACATAATAAAATCTATATTTGGTCACAGTCTAATGCAAAAAATCAGTAGGAATAAGTCATTTATAAAACATAACAGGCTTTAGAAAACTGTGCTGATTTCTGTTAACAACATTCATGTGGACTTGTATTTTCTTCCCACTTGAGATATTTCCTAGGAATACACATTTACAGAGCACAAGTTTTACATCTCAATGTGCCTGCATATATTGCTAAGCTGAATAATAACTTACAATATGAATAAAAGTAAGACTCTTCAAAATGTTCATAAGTAAAGGCTGCAAGTCCCTAGGTGGTGCAGAATTAAGTGATGGCTGCTAACTGAAAGGTCAGAGGTACAAGTTCACAAAGAGACACCTTGGGACAACTAAAACATTGTAAAATAAAAGACTGGTTATTTATTTGAAGATATTAGCCTTTGAAAACCCTATGGAGCAAATCTCTACTCTGACATAAATGGGATGACCATGAATGAGAATCAGTTCAACAAATTGTGGTTATCTCTGTACAGATGTTCAATATGCACATTTCAGTCTGTCAGACAAATAAACTGAAAAAAAAAAGGAAGTTACTGCCATAAAGTCCATATTGACTCATAGAGACCCCTATTGGGTTTCTGAGGCTGTAAATATTTACATAAGTAGATTGGCCCATCTTCCTTCCCCAGAGCATCTGGTGGGTTTGAACTGCTGACCTGGTTAGCAGCCAAATGCCTTATCCATTACACTGCTTCTAAATAAAGCTTAAAATATCTTACGGATCACTGGTGATTTACTGATGCTCTATGAAGTCGGGATATATCAGACAGTGTCAGTGTTATTCATAAGAATTTCAGTGGCCAATTATTTCAGAAATGGATGGTCCATTTATTCTTCCCATTCTGTCTTAGTCTGGAAACTCCACTAAAATCTGTCTACCATGGGTAACACTGCTGGTATTTGAAACACCCGTGGAATAGCCTCCAGCCTCACAGCAACACTCAAGCCATTGCAGTGACAAACTGACAGATGAATGGTGGCCAGACTTTGTCTCACCTAGTTTGGTCATGAAAGAAGAGACTATTCCCTGGAGAAGGATATCAGTGCTTGGTAAAGTAGAGGGTCAGGGAAAAAGGAAAGACCCTCAATGAGATGGACTGACACAGTGACTGCACTGATGGGCTCAAGCATAACAAGCACTGTGAGGGTGACACAGGCCAGGGCAGTGTTTCATTCTGTCGTACACAGGGTTACTATGAGGCAGAATTGACTCAATGGCACATAACAGCAACTATGCCTCCAGGATAGTCCTACAGGGAGGTATATAGTGAGGCTTACAGATATCTGAGGAGCTCTGGTAGCGTAGTGCCAAGGCACTTGACTGCTAAACAGAAGGCTGACGGTTCAAACCCACTAGCCACTCCTCGGAAGGAAGATGGGGAAATCTACTTCTGTAGTAATACTGCCTCGGACACCCAAGGAGGGGTCTCTATGAGTCAGGTCTGACTCGACAGCAAAACAACAACAACAACAAAGATATCTGTATCTAACACAATACCATATGCTGTACTTTAATGAAACTTATGGCAAAAGTTTGTTTTTAAAAGGATTCTCTCTGTGTTAAGTTGTGTTATTAATCATAATTAAAAGGGTAGACTTGAACTTCTGTGAAAATAGATGTAACTTGGAAAGAATATAAAGTCACTTGCAAAATAAGCCTCATTAATTTTTGTCTAGAATTTACCTACTTTTACCTCTGGTAGCATAGTGCCTAAAGGCACTTGACTGCTAACTAGAAGGCTAGTGGTTCAAACCCACCAGTCACTCCTCGGAAGGAAGATGGGGCAATCTACTTCCATAGTGATACTGCCTCAGAAACCCAAGGAGGGGTTGCTATGAGTTGGGTCTGACTTGACGGCACATAACAACAACAACAACAACAACCTATTGTTTAGGAGCCCTGAACATACAGTGGTTAAAGCACCCGGCTGCCAACAGCAATGTCAGTAGCTTGAGCCCACCAGCCAGTCCTTGAGAAAAAAATGTGGCAGTCTGCTTCTGTAAAGACTTATGGCTTTGAAAACTCTATGGAGCAACTCTTCTCTGTCCTATATGGTCAGAGTGGGAATTGACTCAATGGCAGCAAGTTGGATTATGGGGTTACTTTTATTTCCCTAGTGCCTTTATTCTTAACACTGTTTCCCATATAAGCTGCTAGATAATTCTTCTGCTATGAACATCTGACGATAACAACTTTTAAGATATAGGAAAGAGTAAAATAAGATGCTCAATATTAAAAAAATATAGCTTCATGATTAGCTATTAGGATTATGTAAGATCAGAATTAAAAAGGATTGCAGGCATCAGTTAGTCTTATAAATGGCAAAGTTATCTAATTTGGGACAGTTATTCTGTATTCAAGTATGTTTAATGAATTAAAATATCAATGAATGGACTTTTTAAAATTTAAAAATTCCTTATTTAATACAATATTTCCATCATATTCAAGGAGAAAGGGCAGCATGAGACAAAAAATATTCTGATTATTTTGCTTTTCTATTTTATAAAATAATATGTTGCTGTTATTGTTTTGTGCCGTCGAGTCAGACCCGACTCATAGCAACCCCTCCTTGGGTTTCCGAGGCAGTATCACTACAGAAGTAGATTGCCCCATCTTCCTTCCGAGGAGTGGCTGGTGGGTTTGAACTGCCAGCCTTCTGGTTAGCAGTCAAGTGCCTTAGGCACTACGCTATCAGAGCTCCTATAAAATAATATAATTTAGGAAATTAGATTATTCAAAATGAGAAATCAGTATTCAAAATGAGGTTTTCTTGAGTATCATAGAATCAAAGAAATGCAGCCAGCTCCTCCATATACAGGTATGAGCAATACGACTGAATCTCTTTGAATAAATTGACTGAGCACACATCTATTTCATTGGATTTTTGGATACTTCTCTTCAATTGTATCGAAGAATTTTTAAAAAAGAAAAAGAACACACATAAATGTTCAAACATAGGCTCTAATGTACGTTTCAGCCCTTACCACCAATACAGGTCCTTCCTATAGGTTTTTCTTGCCTGAGATGCATTATCTATTACTGTAATGATTAAATGAACAATATTTAATAGTTGCAGAAGGATTATAAGTCTTTAGAATATAAAAATAGGTATTTCACTCAATTTATTGTAAAAAACAAAAGTCTCTTCATAGTACTCTTGATAGACCAGTGTTTAAGAGTATGTGGATTGTTTCAAATCTTACTTAGTTCTACGACAAACAAAGTGTCATGTGTCAAAAATACTGAGACAATGCAGATATAGAACTCAGCACGGGCCCAGCCCCAGAGTTACTACTCGGAATTCATAGATGATAACTACTGCTGTCTACTACTAAAAATTAAGACTGCTGTTTCTATTGCCTCCACTACATCTACTACTTACAAGAGCTAGAGTTTTGATTTCCTGATTTCTCTTGAATTTCCTTTGCCTTAGAACCTCTCTCATGTCTGTTTCCTGAACTCTTACTTCTTTGCTTATATTTAGAAAACAAGGATTCTGGTCAACTCAGGCAGTAATACAATGTTCTTCCACCTTTCTTTCGTTTATCAAATGGTGTTCATTTGATCTGTATTCAGTGGAATTTAGAAATTTAAATAGGCAAGGTAACACATGTTCTTAATGATCAATTTTATACTATAGTTCTTTAGTAAGTAGGTTACTATAATGAAGCATTCAATATTCATTCAATGGATTCAGAGAGTTTCTACTGCACAGAGAGGAAGGACTCTTAAGGAAAGTATAGCTCATAATTTAATACAATCTCTTCCACATAGCTGTGTACTTCATAAATTCCCCTGCTGGACCCCTGTTCCTTTTCCACTATAGTAAAGACCTAAAATGAAAGGTGAAAAAGCATATTCTATGTTTACCACCTACAAAGCTGCATTCTTGTTTCTATTTTTGGTGCTTAAAGTACACCATGTCTAGTGTATTTTAATCTCTGATTCTGTGAGTTGGTTTCCATCACGGGAAACGTGTCCTCAAAATTATAGTCCATTTCACCACCATGCACCAAAACAGGTGGTTGAGTAAAAACCACTAACCAGTAATTTTAGAGTTGCTCAGTGTTCTATGGAAGTAGTCAACAGGATAGAAAGGGCAGGGAAGTGGTTTGGTGTTCTATTCTCCTTTCTCCATCCATTTGTCCTTGTCCTATTGAGCTCTCATGTTACTCTTCAACTATTGCTTAATATGAACTCGAAGAAAATAATTTTCAAATGTGTCAGTTTATGTTTGTTTATAATAGTGTGCAGATTACAAAGACATTGAGCAAATGACAAATAAAAAATAAATATAATAATAAATGTTTCACTCTACTGGTGCAGATCTGAAAATAAAAATACATGTATCACTATGCTCTTACCTGCTGGAATTCTTCCATCTGTAAGGAACAGGTCACTAAATCCTTCCCCCAGCAGCCTGTCTATTGGAGAGTCTCGCCCCAAATCATAATCACTGTCTCCTGCTTCACTGTCACCACGACCACTGTCTTTCAAGCTAAATTTGTCCATGTCTTGAAGGGCATACCTAGAAAGATAAATCAGGTAAAGTATAGTTTTTCCCTTTCAACATTAATGTTATTTGAGAGTTAATAGTTAGCATGAGGATAATTCATACCTATAGCTCCTGGAATATTTGTTTCCTCGAAAACTTGGCCTTGGCTGATACTGCCCCTGGTGAAGCATTGAAAGAAGCTGGGAGACCTGCTGGAAACCAAAGGCACAGTACTGATTTCTGGAAATAAACCTCCAAATACTCAAAAGCTTTAAGCAAAGAGAAACATTTACTTGTTGTGTTGTCCTTAGTTATTGAATAAGTTATCTCAGTGTTAAGGATCTGCATATGCTTAGCTGTGAAGACAGTAAAGCCTGCCACCAATATAAACTGAGAGTTACCCACCCCCCGCCCCCGTGAGGACAAAAGCTTTAGAATGCCTAATAATTAGCTAGATATTAACAAAACAAGAGAGAGTGAAATCAGAAAGATTTGGATGATCTAATACAACTGACTCTTTCTTTTGGAAAGAATACTCTCTTTAAATAACTGATTGATTGTCTTTATTTTATAAATCACCTTAAAGTGATCAATTATACTAATGCCTGGAAAAGGCTGTCTAATAAACATTCCATCACATGTAGTTAAAATAATATCAGAAATTTTTCAAAAATTGAACATATGTTACAGGCATTAAGATGGGATGCTAGAGGCCTTTTTTAAAAAAAGAATCTTCCAGTGGAGATTGGAACTATGAGAATAAAGCCAATCTATTTGCTTTTTGACTTCAAGTCTCTTAACCTGGGAAGTAAGGGCATGCTAATTAGATACTTCCTTTCAACTCTCAAATTAACGTTTTCTATAACACATTTTACAGGCAAGTGAATGATTTAAGAAAAACTGAAAACTGTAGGCTATGATACATGTACACAATTTAGCTTGCTTGTATTTAATGTTACATATTCTTCATATGGTTACCTGTTTATGGAAATACTTAAGAAAAACATCTGACTTTGCCTGTGAGCTGCTGCAGTTTATGATCTTACCTCAACAGCCGGAGTGGCGTGGGTGAGCTCTAACGAGAAATTCTCTGGCACATGGTTTGATGAGATTGTCACCAAACTATTGAGTGACTGGTGGCTGTTGTGACTCTGTCGGCTGCCCATCTGCCCTCTTTCTAGGGTAGGAGATGAGGATGGAGACGATCTGTGATGAGATCTAATAGGCAGTGTTCCATTTACTGTAGGCACCAATGTAATGTCACCTTTGTGAATCTGTCTGGATGGCCTTTTTGGGTGGTGCTGATATGTTGATTCTGCTACCCTGCAGTTGTAGGATCTAGTGTCCTTCTTTTCTCGGTTACACCTGGTTGCAAACAGCACCATAATAACCAACAATACTGCACAGATTGCGCCTAAGGAAATAATTATAATCATGGAGACATCCAAAGATCCCTGGCTTACTGAAGTCATTGCTGTACTTGTCACAGATTCTGCATATTCAAAGATCACGCACTTCAGCAGGACTTTGGCGTGCAGTTGAGGATTGCCTTTGTCCTGGATGATAATCAAGAGTTCCCATTCTGTGTAGGGAACAGAGTCCATGCTCACGTTGGTATGGATGTCACATGACCGTGGATCAATTACGAAGATATTCTCCTCATTACCTGCAACTATGGAGCAACTGAGTTCAGCATTGACACCCGAGTCTCTATCAATTGCCCTTATTCTTGTGACATGAAAGCCACTTTCAGCCCCTTTGGGGATGGAGATTTCAGCAGTATTATTGCGCAGTGCAGGCCCTATAACCACAGGGACGTTGTCATTTTCATCAATGATCGTGAGCACAACTGTGGTATTGCTTACAAGTTGTTTTGGACTCCCTCCATCTCTTGCTTCAACCACAAAAGTGATTTGACTCACTTCTTCATGATCAAAGATTCTGAGGGCATAGATGGCGCCATTAGATGGATCAATGGTTACATATGTAGTTATAGAACTTCCCAGGATGAAACTCTCCAAAATGGTATACGTTACATGCCCATTTTCTCCTAGGTCAGGATCTGTGGCTGTAACAGTAGTGATATATGCCCCAGGAGAGTTATTCTCTGAGATTACAAATTCATATCGACTTCTTTGGAAGTGAGGTGGATTGTCATTTATATCATTGATTTGAACAGTAAAATGTTTTACTGTAGAGAGACTTGGTGTCCCCTTGTCTTCAGCTATTACAGTCAAACTGTATTCAGATCTCTTTTCTCTATCCAGTGTAGCATTCGTCAAGATTAAATAATTATTTTCATAAGTCTTCTGAAGTTTAAAGTGGCCATGTCCATGAAGCTTACAAACTATTTCTCCATTCAGCCCAGAATCTTTGTCCTGAACCCTGACCAAAGCAACAAACGTGTCAATAGGATCCCCTTCAAAAATGTAAGATATTTCTTCTTTACCAGGAGACATCAAGTTTATGTTAATTTCAGGCTTATTGTCATTAACATCCACAACCTTAATTATAATTTTGCAATGAGCTGGGATTGAATTTGGACCCAAATCTTGAGCCTGAACATCAATTTCATAAGATTTGGTGATTTCATAATCCACTTGCTTGAAAAGAGTCAAATGTCCTCTTTCTGAATCAATTTTAAAAGTCTCTATAATTCTGGGAGACACATGACTGCTGAAAGAATATACGATTTTCCCATTAGCGCCCTCATCTGGATCAGTGGCATTCAGATCGAGGAGCAGAGTGCCAACAGGGGAGTTTTCTAGGAGTTGTATTATATAAGACTGCTGCTCAAAAGCAGGGCTGTTGTCATTGGAGTCTGAAATGCTTATTTTTAGTATGGATGAGCCAGACCTCTGAGGCACCCCCATGTCTGAGGCAGTGAGCTGAAGCTCATAGCTTGACTTTAGCTCCCGATCCAGCTCTCTGACCACTATGAGTTCTGCATACTTGGCTCCATCAGTCCTGGTCCGTACCTCGATATTAAAAAAATCATTGGGAGAGAGGGAGTACGTGTGGAGGGAATTTTCCCCAACATCTGGATCAAATGCACTATCCAGAGGGATACGAGTCCCAACTGCTGCACTCTCAGATATCTCAATAGGTATGAGAGATCTTGAAAACTGGGGAGAATTGTCATTAATATCCAGCACTTCAACTTCAATATGGAAAAGCTGCAGATGCTCGGTGGGTAAAGTGATCACATCGAACTCTATGGAACAGTTCAAGTTTTTCTGACATAGTTGCTCCCGGTCAATTTTAGCTCCTATGCTGATTTCCCCATTATCTTCATTGACTATGAGTAGAGGAAAATTTCCCCTTTGCATGGCTCGAAAACGAACAGTAGAAGGATTAGGTAGCTTAAATAAAACATCAGCCACATCCTCTGATAGTCTTGCAATTACTGATCCGACCCTCTGTTCCTCATAAATCCTGTATTTCAAATTCTTGCCCAGTACATCGTGGTTGAAAGATACCGTCAACAGTGCAAAAGCAAATATAAAGTGCATTTTAGTATTCATTTGGTATACTGGTCAGTTTGTGAGATTCTCTTCACAGAGCAAGTTAAAACAGCAAAGCAATCCTCTCAACTTCCTTTGGCAACTTAAAGCTAGCTATATTTGGTACTTGAAACTTGAAAGAGTCTCTTAATAACACAGCACAGAAATTAACAGCTCGCAAAGTTTTGTTTTATACACACCGTGTCTCGACTTCCAGATATTATCCACATGGAATCCAATCCTTGCATTTGTTTGGCTGTTCGTCCTCTTTCCAAGCAGAAGAGTGTCACCTCCGCATTTTCCCTCTTGTGTAGCTGGAATCCATCTATTGCAGGGTGCAGGAGGAGTCTGCAGTGTGTCTTTCCTGAGCGGTTCTTTCTCCTTTTCTCTGCTGGCTGCAGACTAAACACCAGTGATTGCTGACTCCAGTCTAAAATCTGTACAACTTCACTTCAACTCAGACAAAGCACTTGCCCGGCGTGTGTTGAATCGCTTCCAGCCAATCAGCGTACTTCCAAATCAAAAGCTGATGGAGTCACCAAAACGAGGGTGGGCGTGAGGGCAGGGTGGGAGAGGGGAAGGGAAGGAGGAGGAGGAAGGCGAAGGGGCCTGGAGGGCTGGGGGCGCGCGCGGGAAGAGGAGAAAGGCTGGTGGGGGCTGGGGAAGGAGTATGAGGGCAGTTCCTTCACTGCTCCTCCCTTCCTCCTCCCCATTCTCCCTCCTCCTCTCAGTCTTCTACATTCACTTTCTCTGAGCGTGCCACGACAAAGGGGAGACAAATTACAGAAGAAAAACTTTAAATCAACTTCTGGTCGCCTTTATTTATGTGGCACTTTAAATTGTTCTTGTTTTCTTAATTGCCCTTTCTTCTTCCACAAACATGTAATCATCTTGCTTTTCATAGTCTTTAAGTACAGGGTTAACTTAAAATACCCCTAAGTGTATTTTGTTGGTGGAGGAATTTAATAAAATTTGGACACTTGCTTCTAATTATGCTTCGCAGACCGCCTCCTCTCCCTCCCCCTCTATAAATACTTGAGTCTCTCTCCTTCCATAAGCACTAGCAGATTTTCTTGGGGCTCTGTTTTAAAGATCAGGACAAGTAAAGAGGTTTCATTTTCTCCTTTCCTTTCATCTTCATTCTTTGAAGATAAGAAAAGGGCTATTTTATGCTCTTGATTTCTCTTAACTAGCTAGATTTAGAAGAATATCTAGGATTTAGAATTAAAGATATAATGCTACCTTCTATCACTCCTTTCCCTGAGTTTGGATTCAATTGTCTAGGATAACTCTTTTCTCTTGTACTTAGAAAACCCTATTCATCTTGAGGAAAAGAGATTTCTTTCTTTAGTATGTCAATTTCTACCACAAGGTACTATCTATATGTGGTTAAGTCTTCACAGTGAACGCTAAGGGGTCTTAGAATCAACAGTTTACAAGTCAAATTTTTAATAATATATGCATTATTTATGGCTACACTTCTAAGATTCTTATTTTAAACACTCAAAGCTTATTTACATTGACAAATAAAATGTCTGAGCTGAAAATTGCATTGTGTGTGCATCAAAACGCTAGGAAATATCATGGGAGGCTCATGCCCTATCCAGGTCACAGACAGATATGTTATTCTTATTTGAAAATATGATTATTTATGATGTTTTTCTGCTCTGCAATTCCTTTTAAGTTTATCATTGTGACTCCATTCTTGCTGCTTTATTCCTCAGCTGTCTTTACCCACTTGTATATTTGCTGTTTCACACAATCTTGCTGTCACATATTTCCATTTATTTTCTCCCACTCTCTATTTTGCCCCCAGATATGTATATATATATATAAGGTAATTTTGTGATTTTTCCACTTTGCTTACTCTCAGCAGAGCTCAGCTAACATCACTGAGAAGGTTTTTCTGAAAAAGAAAGCAGGGGAGTCTCAGCATGAACTCTCTTCTTTTTAGGCATTCAAAGACATGTTATAAGCCATTGTCTTTTTCCCCCTCCAGAAACCAGTGCTGTGTGGCAAATTGTGTAGAATAGAAATGCCTATAATGAATGTATTTAGTACAGGGTCGTGCTGATGAACATTCTGCCCCCATGAATAATACTGTTTTACAGGTTTGTAGCCCTTTCAAATTGCTGATCCCCAAACCTTATAGGCAAACTAGAAGAACTACCACAAACTACTGGGACTTTAGAAACCCATAGCCATCTGGCTTACTTCTCTAACAATTCGAGCCAATAATTATATCAGTTCTAGGCTTTAGAGAACCCCTTTGCAAGCACCAAAAGAGCAAAGAAAGAAATTAGTGACTATTCAAAGTTGGGGTGAGAATTCAAAGGTAATCTAATTCCATTAGTTCTAGGACAGTTTTCCTCATGAATTGGATATCTATCCCCAAAACTCCAACACCAATGGGTTTGAGTACCTTTATTCAGAGGACATGTGTTTTTCTAAGTAAAAACAACAATAATGATAATTTTAAAAACTTTCCACTCTTTTTGACAGTGCCCTTGAAGCAAAGTAATCATTTTGACAGAGTTTCATTGTAACTTACTGGCATATTTAAAGTAGTATGAATTAGTATATACTTATATAGACTAAGTCTTTAAGGAATTCTGAATACTTTCATTGAAAATGATTTTTTCACTTATGATATCATCCTCACCAAATATTGTTCCCTTTTCAGTTTACCAATCTCTCCATGAAAAGGTATACGTACCTATTCAACAGTATTTTGCTCTGATTGCTTTTGATTGCTGCTTACTAAGCATACCTTGCTCCTCACACTTTAAAAAAAAAAATCACAATATATTTTTGTTAGTTCAATATTTCAAAATTCTAACAATTGGTAGCCCTGGAAAGAAAATATCAACAGTAACAAAAGGAAACAATAACAAAACAGTTATCTAACTCAGTTGCTATTGGTGAATGGGTTTGTATCAGAAGAAAAAAACTGACCAACTTCTGTTACTTGTCATCAAATGACGATTTAATTGAACGTTCTCATTCTTCTAAAATTTCTCAAAGTCTCAAAGAAGTGACAGACCCTCTATTCAACTTCTTGGATATTCACTTATAGATGTTGGCATGTTACTTAAAGGCCATTCACCTTTGGTATGGCAGTCTTTATTAAGAAAGAGGATGGACCCACCTCTTGTGAACTGTGACATTGTGAGTAGCATTAGCTTCTAGAGGGGAACCTTGGTTATTACCATCCTGTCGGGCATATTTTATCTGCAACGCTTCTTTTATAACATCAGCTTAATTTGGCTGAAAATTGGTAAACCTACAGAAAAGATCCAAGTTGGCATTTGCAATACATCATGTCACTTCTAATAACATTTATACTGTGCAATTTTTGGTGATTACTTTTGGGTTTAGGAAAACAAAGGTTTATAGTTTTATAATCTAAATCCTTAATGTTTTTCTTCCAATTGAAGTAGAAGGGGAAACCTAGGATTTGACTGCAAAGCTCAAATATCTTTCCATTACATGAAGAATAGTGTTTCTTTTAAGAAAGCTCCTAAAAGCACATACATGGTTTTCTTAAGAAATGTTTCCAAAAACCAAACCAGACTCACTGCCATGGAGTCAGATCTGACTCATAGTGACCCCTCCTTGGGTTTCCAAGGCAGTATCTCTACGGAAGTAGATTGCCCAATCTTCCTTCTGAGAAGTGGCTGGTGGATTTGAACTACCAGCCTTCTGGTTAGCAGTCAAGTGCCTTAGGCACTATGCCACCAGAACTCCCAAGAAATGTTTAGGTACTAATTTTATTTTTTTAGGACATATGATACATAGAAGAAAAAGTAAACATAGGAAGACTTAATATTTACTTCCATCTCACTTCCATCTTGCTCACTATCAAATTAGTAATATGAACCTCACAATGTTCTTATAGGTGGCATAACATTACCATTTTTTCTCACAACATTTGCTGTAAAATCCTTTGTAATAGGAACTTATGGTCCTGCTTGACACTTATCATGTGAAAGCAGATAAGGGCAAATGCTTTATCAGACAAAGGTTGATACAGTTAAGGAATTCCAATATTCTGGGACTGCTTAAGATAAAGAACCTGACTTTTTATACAAGTCCAACAAATATATGACTGTAGGTATCACCAGTTGGTAGCTGTGTAGTCTTGGACAAATAATTTAACTTCTCTGAGTCTATCTAATACTCTGTGAGGTGAGAATAATAATAATACCCTACTATAAAGAATCCTAAAGAGCCCTGATGGTGTAGTGTCTATTGACTGCTAACTAGAAAGTTGGTTCAAAGTCATAAGCCACTCCATGGTAGGAAGACTGGGAGATCTAATTCCATAAATATTAACCACCTAGGAAACCAAAAAAAAAGGGTTGCTATCAGTTGGAATCGACTCGGTAGCAGTGAGTTTTGTTTTTTTTTTTTAAATAATCATTGTAGAATTAAATAATTGGTGCTTACCAGAGAGTTTGGCCTATAGAAGACATAAAACAAAGATTAGTTTTCTTTTTTTAGCCTCTGGGTTTTTCTGTTTTCTAACTGACACCCATGGGGAACAAAGAATGTGGATAGTAATCACAATCAATAAATACTTTCAGACTTTTCGCTTAACACATTTATAAAATTACATGCTAAAAAGAGATGCTTTCTACATTTTTTGGTTTATGAAAACCATTGCCATTGAGTCAATTTCAACTCATAGTAAGCCTACAGGATAGAGTAGAACTGCCCCCAAATGGTTTCCAATGTTATAAGACTTTATGGGAGCAGACTGTCTCATCTTTGTCCCATGGGACAAAGTTGGTAGGTTCAAACCACCGAACTTTTGGTTAGCAGATCATTACCTGCTGTGCCACCAGAGTTCCTTGATTTATGAAGGTACCTGTAAAATACAGACCTTGTGGTGCAGTGGCTAAGAACCAGGCTGTTCACCAACTGCTCCATGGGAGACAGATGTGGGAGTCTCCATAAAGATTTCCATAAAGATTTACAGCTTTGAAAACCTTATGAGGGAGTTCTACTGTAACCTATAGGGTCTCTATGAGTAGGCATCAACTCAACCACAAAGGATTGGGTGTGATGACCTTGAAAATTTTCTGCTTCGTTAAAAAAAATTCCACCAGGTCTATCGAAATATACCTTTTATATATCACCAGAATTGAAGCCATAGAAGCATATCTAATACTGGAGTAAAAAATAAGTCTTCCAAGGTGCTTGCCAGGATATATATAAATATATATAATATTTGGTGTCAAAGAGTTTGAGCTGAACTCTTTTTTTAAAATATAATGTCACATTTTAGTAGCTACACATAAGGATATAATCTAGTATATCTTGACAATGACAAGGAAAGATAAAACTTGTCAAATAAGATTTCCATTAAAAAAAATCATTAGAGGCGGGGCAAGATGGCGGACAAGGCAGAAGGATTG